AGCACTTTTGACTGAGACAGGCAAGGTGGGTGTGGGCAAGAACAGAAAATGGATGCACCTGCTCACAAATGAAATCAAGCCACTCCGTCTTCATTTCCCCTTTTTCCGCCAGCTGGAACAATGCTGCAGAGCTTTAGCTCTCAGTACATTGAGTTATTTCAAACTAACTAGACAGAAGGCCTGGCTGACTTGCAGTCAAATAGTCAGAACAGGCCTACAGATTCAGACCTTAAAGGAATTCAGTTTAACACTCTAACTGCATAGTTTCCTCTTGGCAATATTGTACTTTCAGAACAGTTATTTTGTACAAGTAGGGGATGCTGTCAAACTGATTGTTTATAGAGAAGGCCGTGAAATGTGTAAATTACACTGTATGCCAATTTCTTTGTACATTGAAACCTCAGAAGATCAGTTAAACAAAGGCTCATATGTTTATGGGTCCTCCACAACAATAACTCAGCATTTATGTAAGATGTAAGCAGACTTCCTAAATTCTGATCATTTGTGTCGCTGCACATACTGTACCAGAAGCAGCGTGCAGACAGATTTATGGAAGTCCGGTGTCTGTTTTTCTGCATCATTCTAACTGCCATTCCAGTCCTGTACCAAACCCCGCAGTCTGGCAGCTGACATGTGATTCAGGACATTGTTGCCGGGTGTGATATGGGAATATGAGATGGTAACACAGATGCAGTGGCACCACAGAGGAGATGAAAGGAACGGGGTTGCTATTGTATGTATGTTGTATGTTGCTGTCTCTAGCTGTGTGATCTGATGAGGCTGGATTACAGTGAATGTTTTGATCTGTAATAACTTGAATTCCTTAACTTTCATCCAGCTTCAAAATGTAAATTAGCTACTACTTTAGTTTATAACCAAATACCCTCTGATTCATTTGAATCCTTTGTTAATCAGAACCAGTGTTAGGTAAATTAAAGAGATCAAATCCAATCCAGTCTCTAGAGCATCATGAGGTCTTTGCTTTCCTTTTCTTTTACTTAATGTCATCTCCTTGTTTTCACCCTAAAGTGGTTTAAGACTGTCTGGCTGCACTTTGTATGGATTTGCAGTAGATAAATAAATAACTAGGTTGGCACCCTTTCACTTTGGATCCCCTCTGTTTTGGCAGGACATCCACAACATTTTCTATCAGGTGTAAACATGTCTGTCAAACGGCATAGTTAGGGGCCCCAGCCTTTTGGCATTCATGACGCCACACATAAGGCGCTGCCAGCGCTCTATGCCTGCCTGCCTGTCTAACCTTGGCCAGGGTTGACATGACTGAGCTCACTTTGCTCTGCCTTCCACATTTATATGGCTGTTCAGGAATCCAAGTGGGCTTAAGTGGCTGTTAGTGAAAGTGACCCTAACTTGGTGGGCACTGACATCATGGATGGGTAACGACCATGACATAGCTGTGGCAAAGCTAGCCAGACCAGGCCAGGGCACTCATTGCCTGATATCTGCTCATCCTCTCATCTCAATCTGGCCATCATTACAGTCATCTTCTTCCGTGTGAGTAGCCCAGGGACATCATCCAAGAGGCCAGGCCACAGGCTCCAAGCCACTGATGTAAAGGCAAGATTTGAGAAACGTGGAACTTTCTGTGTCTGACATGTATGGAAAGACTTGGCCAATCCAGCTGTGGACTGTCATGCATTATTCTAGAGGCTTGCTGTCTCTCTTCGCTCTATATCCACCATCTCACCTTGGGGAACTGTCACTTTTTCATCAGTGAGTTACTGAGCGTTCATGCAGCCCCCAAGTTCTTTAGCAGACCCCTCCTTCCCTCAAAAGAAGAGCAGTTTCAAGTAGCTGTCTTCCTCTCTCCCACACTACTGCAGCAGTTTCCTTGTTTGACAGTTTTATTCCTGACACACGGTGTCTGGCAAATTGGGAACCACTATTTTACAGACTCTCAATTTATGTGTAAGTTGGGTTTGGGGCGGTTGTCTTCACTTCTCTTCACCGTCCACTCACTATCACAACCACCCGTTTTGTTTTGGTGTGAGATAACAGTCCAGGTCGACATGCAGTTTTTGCTGACTGAAAAAACAAACGGCCTCATTCCAAACACCTCAGGATGCGCTGGAGTCATCAGGATCCATTGTTGGAGACTGTGAACTAGCCTGTCACAGCCTAACATGCCCTCTGTTAGAACCAGAAGTTTTTTTTTTATCTACTGCTGCTGTTTGTAAAGCCTGATGGGCTCATGAAGGCCATACTGATGTATCATTTCTTCCTGATGTGCTCAAGGCTTGCTTTCCCCCTTTCTTCTTTACAGAGCGCTCTGGGTTGGTATTAAAGGATAAAAAGCTGCTCTATACTCCCTGCTTCTTTTCTTTCTTTACCTCTTATTCAGAGACCACTTGCAAATAAAAGTAATGTCACTTTTTCTGTCCCTCAGAGATTCAACATAGTGGAGTTGCATTGAATTTTTACTGCAACATTTCTTGGCTGTATTTCAGAGCCATAACCCTGGGGGTAATCATACAATTAAAATAACAGCAGCCTGCTTTCTCCTCCACTCTCCTCTCTTTCAGCTATTAGCACATGCAACATACAGCATGGTGACTTGGTTCCTCTAATTGCTTTTGTTTTTAATTGGTGTAGAAAAGCTGATAATATTCAATCAAAAAAACCAAACAAGCTTTCTCACCTGTGTTTTTTTTTCTTCTTCAGAATAATGTTCTATGTGTCTCCTTCTGATGAGCTTATTTTTGGTGCACAATCTGCACTTTTCCTCTTGTATTACTGCTGGTGGATATGTGAATAGATGATTTTCTGTGCAGTTAGCCTGATGCAGTTACCAGATTTGTAACACCTGCAGATCATAGTTGATGGAGAGGATGTTGATGAAAATATTCAGCTGGGCTAATTTCCTAAATGGCTTCCATCTTTCCTGTTCCTTCTTCTTGTCCATGCACATTTTTCACTTTCAGACAGCTTTCATTCTGTCCTTCCACACTGAGGAATGAAAGGAAAATATAGGTCAGCTTTTGTTGGAGTGATTTGACACATGACACAAGCCAGGAGCATCACTCGCTCAAGTCCTGCTTTGTCTGCTCACTTTCATATGCCTGTAATGAAAGCCACGCAGTTATTTACACACTTTTATAACAGCTCTAAGTAAGTAGTTGCTCCTCCTGCTCCAAGCTGTAAAGCCGTGTCAGCTGGGGCATTACCATAGGCTGACCTTTGCCGCTACACTCCCGACTGTACAATTTTCTGACATTCAGGGGCGGTATGGGGGAGGAGGGAAGGGGGTGAGCTGATGGCCTGTTCGCTGCTTTTTTTTTTGCCTGTACTGTGTTGATGTGTATATTCTTATATCGGATGAACTCACAGTTTATGTTGCTGTTTTTTAGTCTTTTTTTCCTTGCATCAGTTCACTCTTCTGCCACAGTTTGAAACCCTGTTTGAGAGTGTATTTTTGATATTTAGCTTTCCTCCACCCCAAAACCTGCTTGTTGTCAAAGAGATTACTGTTATCTTTGTGTGAAAGCTTGACACCCTGAAAAATGAGTAAGCGTTGGAAAGCCTTTCTGCTGACATCAAGTTGATACGTACCTTAAATGCTTCCAAGACCGAGGGAAAAGAATAACATATCAGACCAATTAACGTTAATGCATAGTGACATACAGAATTGAGGGCAGGGATTGCTGCCATATTGCAGTCTAGGCTGTAAATCAGAACGCAGGGGAAAGGGAAGATGATGAAAGGGGGTGGGAGGCTGGGCGGCAGAAAGGGTGACGCAGCATCATTGGCACAAATCAAACCCCAAATCCTCAGACCTGACTCAAAACTGCAGCTCCTCCACCCACCAGTCTCCCCTGTCTCTACCCTTTCCTCCCTTCCTCCTCCCCTGCCGTCCTGCCCCTGCGGCACCCCGAGGTGCAATGCTCTCAGGTATCTGTGTAGAATTGGCAGCTTCATTAAGGCTTGTTTTTTTTTTTCTCCTCTTGCTGGGAGGATTTAAATGAGCTGTCATCCTGACCTTTTTGAGCTCCAGCTTTTAAAGGCAAGTTCAGGCCCCCCACCACCCCAAACCTGCCACTAGTCTTTCTCTCTTTCCACCTTTCTCTCTTGCTTTGTTACTCTTTCCTCCACTTGTCTCTTCTCCCTGCAGGGGGGAAGACACTTTTAAGCCATCACCCTGTGGCAGACAGGCATGTCAAGGTTGTTTTGTGGGTAATTGCCTCTCTCATAGATGCCGTTTGTCTGGGTACACTTACCACCCTCTTCTGATGCCACACAGCAAGAGGGGAGGGCACAGACTCTGTAGACTTAATTTGCTCCCTGACTGTTCTTCAGTGCTGATTAAGCAAGCATCTGTGGTGTGTTGAATACAGCAGTAAGCCAAGTGGAGCATGGCTAATGTTTTTCTCCCTCTCTTACATCAGGTCATTGCAAAAAGTGGCAGGCATTTACTGGAACCATAGTCCTGTTTATTCATTTCTTTTCACCACATTTGGAGCTGACTTCATTGTTTAATGTCCCCAAAATAAAAGGCCTCTTTGAGGTCTAGAGGACTGCAGTATGGATTAACTTGTCAATGCCAGGCCTCTTGAGTGTGTTCTTTTCAAATGTACAGGAGTCATTCATTTCCTTCTCTATGGTCTGGTGGAGGCAGAGAGGTAAAATGCAGGTAAGCAGGGTCCGACGTACTGACTAACATGCAAGGCGAGGAGGAGGAGGGATGAAGTCAATTTAAAAGCTGCCGGCCCCTCAGGCCCAGCTTGACTGTTTTACTTCAGCTGTTTGATGTTAAATTGAAGTTATTGGCATCAAATGTCACCTTACCTGATGCTCCAGTTTCTAATTGAAAGATAACTATGTCTCCCTCAGCCTTGCGCCTCTGGGGATTGACCACAGAGTTCTATTAGGCTGGACCCAGCTTCTGTATCGCTGCTCACCATGTGCTGCCTTGGAGTTATCTCTGACTGCTGACTTCTCCCCCCTCTCCCACTCCCTCTCTCTCTCTCTGTCCCTCTCTGCAGTATGAGGAGAGGCGTGTGTCCCATGTTGCATTAATGTCTGTGTGAAATGCTGGCCTGTCTGCCAGGCCCAGGTGACCTCCCCCTCCAGCTTCTCCCTCACACGCAGATGAACACTGGACTTCAGAAATGTAAGTACTGATCTTAGCACACACACGCTATTAACTACCACCACCATCCCACACAATAAACCAAGCTGTCGCAGTCCTGTGGCCTGCCCCATGTCAGATCCCTCTGCCAACTCTAGCCTGTTCTCTTTTGCAGCTCTGTGTTAAAACCCTAAGTATATGAGTGCTCCAGGACCACAGATCTGTCTTCAGTGGAAATCAGGATGAATTCATTAATTTGTTGATGAATGGCTCTTCCTCCTCCTTATCTTGCTCGCACTCACATCACCCCTGAAGTTCTGTGATCCTGTGTGCTTCCTTCAGCGCCATCACCACATTTAAGTGTTAGATCTGACCGTCTCAGTTCCTTTTCACCATCAGGAAGAGTCAGTTACTGTCAGACTCGCAGACAGATTGTAGAGCTGAGTGGTTTTGCCATGATGATCTTGTAATGTGAGTGAATTTAAGAAGCAGTCTGCTGCCCCGGTTTAACAGCAGGCTAGTCAGAGCTGGCCCAGTTAATTCAATGCATTTGAATTTTACAGTTCAAGTGCTGACAGAGTTGGACTCTCTGGGGGTGCGAGGGGCATCAGCACAAACGGAGAGTTAAAGTCAGTCATCATCTGTGAGAACTGAGACTTGCTGGCTGTGGAGGACAGTAATGCATGACAAAATGATGAATGGAAATGGCAACTATAAGCCAGTGCTGTTGTCTTTTTGTTGTACCTGATGTATTTTCAACCTAAACACATTTAAACTGACATTCCACAGACTTTTCGAAGTGCAGATAATCATTTCTTTGATTTTAAATAGAATCATATTTAGAGTTGGGTAAATTAATCTATCCATGTATTTTGTATTAACAGGTTCCACTGATGCCTACACACATGAATTCTTTCACATTCTACTGATTGTTTCTTTCTACTGTAAGATTTTTAGATCTACCAAAAATATCAGTCACTTCCCAGACAAAGATTATAGCCCATCCAGTTGGTCAGCCTTTTTTTTGGTCGATCATAAATAGCTCTCCTTTTCCTCCTGCCTATTTCTCTCTGAGTAGAAACTCAGCCCTAGCCTGACCCATTTCTTCAGCATTTTTTTTTTTTGTAAAATGCTCCAGCTCATCAAGACTGTAATTTCAGAATCACAGTAATCAGCCAACCCCCAGGAGATCAGCGAGTGTGAGGGAGTCTGCTAAGTGCCAGCGTCTGTTGCCTTACTCAGGCAGGCTTGTGACATGGTGCAGCCATCAGCGCAACTGTTTCTCTGCTCTTCTTTTATGTGATACACTAAGACACATCAGTGCACGAGGCATAACTGGAGTTTAATTTGTTTTTCTGTCCAACACTGTAATCCATTTTGGTGATGGAGTGTGCTTCCCACAGCATAGCCTTTCCTAGAAGTGTAATTTCAATCTGTTTTCCTTTTTTGTGATGCTTTTCCTTTTCATCTGCTCTCTTGTACTGTTAGCGGGCACAGTGTTACATCAAAAGCCATGAAACTATGTTGCATTTAGACTTAATCATTTTCTTCAAAGTACCTTAGGAACAAGCAAGCAAAAACAAAAATCTGTACACTCCCAGGTGGTTGCCTACCCTGTAGATCACCTTCTGCATGTCTGCATGTTGTCCAGTTGTCACAGTTCCCTGTGCTGTGCCATGCACAACCCTCAGCTAACACTACCATCTTGCTCCTGGCTGTCTGCATAGCGTGGTCTCTCCCAGTGTTCATCTAGCACCAGTGAATTTTTAACTCCATGAGAGCTGTGCTTGGCTGCTTTTAGGTGACATTCATGGACTAGTTGTCATTTAAAACCTTTATTCAATACTCTGGCAAGCTTCCACAAAATAAATAAATAAATAAATAAAATGTTGGATAGGTTTCTCTTCCCATTCACCTATCCTTGACCTCTATGCTTTCAGCTACTCAGTGCACTGTAATGCTGAGTCTTGCACTTGAAATCTCATCTTTGACACTTTTCCCTTCCTTTATTTTCATCAAGACCTCCAGATCAACAGACTCACTGTATGCTGCCTTCTCTCTTGTGGGTATATCTGTGCATAGCAGAGTCATTTAAAGTTACGAGCTTGCAGGTTTCTGTCAGAGGCAAGGCCAGAGCAGCTGCTCTATTTATCATCAGGGAGTGACTGTTGACAGACAATGGCTATGAATTGTAAAGGCTGACAGAGGAATAGATTGGGTACATGCAAAAAAGGACAGTGGGTCACAAGACTGCTCATCCCAGAGGCAGGATGACTCTCAAGTACCAGAAAGTGGCCTTTGGTCCTCAGTTCTTACAGGCAGAACAAACAGAGAGTGCAGCTGGGCCACTTGGCTGATTTTCCCATCTCAGTCCCTACTGAGATCAAAAACAACCATTTCCTCTTTCTCTCCATATAGCAGTTTTCAGTTTTTCAAAGGCCTTGCGGTGTTGATCTATCAGCATGGGGATGCTCTGTTCAGAAGTCTGCAGAAATGCAAGGAGGTTTCACATGTCTAATTTGACACTAAAGCTTCAGACCTAATTTCCTGCTCTTGTGTGAAAACTGCAGGTTACAGCAGCATGAGCCCCAGCTCTCTGCTGTTTAACCCTGGTTTAATAAAAACAGTAGTTCGAATAAGAGAAACCCCAATTAGTGCCTGCTGACTGTGCACTTGTGTTGCAGCTAGCTAGCTAGCTAGCAGCGGGGTAAGTAATGCTTGGACCGGCAAGGCGTCTTTCCCATTCCCCCTCTGGGAAAATGCTTAGCTGGAGATCTGGGAGATTATATGCTCATAGTCGCCTTCAGACTTCTCTTCATGCTTTAAATGCTTCAGCTATTCTTGCATCGAGTTAAGGTTGAACAGCTAATAAACTACACTTGCTAACTAGAAGACGTAATCAGCAGCTGGCAGAACCATTAAACAGATGTAAACAGCAAGGGGTTGGTGATTTTATGCTCTATTAGGGCAAGCTACTCTAAACAGTACTGATTTCAATACAAGGGAAGCAGTTCTCTTAAACTTTTCATTTTGACTTTTCCCCAGAATGCCTGGCTAAGCTGTGTTAAACAATGTCTAATCCCTTTTCCAATTTAATGGATTGGTCAGTTTCCAGACATTGACATTGCTTTCTGTGCTACTTGCCTGAGTTTTACGGTTTAGGCATAAAATTCACTGCACAAGCGCCTCAGGCAAACAACTAATACTGTACATAGTTCCACCCTTGCTGCTGTTTTTCTTGCTTTATTCTTCAATCTAAAACTGAAAGCAAGTTTTCTCTCCATCTTTTAAAATGGAATATTTTTCATTTTCCCTTAACGATATACTGTAGATTTAACACTTGTGAATTAATTAGTTTGGGTGATCATTCTTTTTGTCTCATCATGTCCACAGTTGCATGTTTTCTGCTGAGCAAAGCTTTGATCATTTTATTAGAAGACAAATCTTCATTTGGGTCTTTTCACTCATGCAGGGTTTGTTTTTTCAGTATTTTTATTATTCGGTGTTTTTTAAGTGTATATGTGAGCAGTCGGTGAAAATAGGTCATAATTGTTCCAGTCTGACACAAAATTAGACCTATGCAGAAATCAGACATTATTCTTGTCCCTACTCAAACTGTTCTGAGTGTAACCTTTTCGTTGAATCAGTCTTGCATGCTGTGAATTACCACCCCATCTCCTGTTCATCCTTCCAAGTTGGTTCAGGATGTTCTGTACCCGCGTATCCCCACAAAGCTGGTCTGTGCCTCTCTGAACAGAGCAAACCCTGTCAGGTGATGTGACGGTGGTGGTCTTAACATTCATTCGAGCTGTCCACAGTCCTGGTTTTATCCCAAAGATCTCATTCCCATGAAATGATAAATGATGTTTTATTCATTACAACAGCTGTTGATACTCTTCCCACCTACTCAGAAACCTTTCTGCAGCTACACTGACATGAGGGTTTGACAACAGTTGCAGAGACTGTGCCAGAATCTCACGAGCTCTAAATAGATCTTGAATACTGATAGCAAACAAGTTGCATTTATCTAGGTGTAGTTTTACTGTTTAAAATGGTATACTTTGTATAGTAAATATGATCCACTGATACCCTGAAAACCAGGTGGGATAAGTGTTAAAATCCAACTGCCTTTGCATTTATTTAGACTGTTTATGACACTGTGAGGAGCATCATCTTCAACAAGGCCATTAATCATCACCTCTGTTTGACAAGTGAAGTCCATCCTCAGTATGTGTGTATGTGTAAGTGTTCATTTGTGTTTTCTTACCCTGGCATTTGTTCAGTGACAGACATTAGGCCTCAGTGATGGCGGGTGTTGAGCTCTAGCTCCTTGGCCCAGACCCCTGCATTAATGAGGCTGACATTAGCAGGCTGAACACTTAGTCACAGCAGCCCCCTGTGTGCCGCACCATACCGGCCCTGCACATCGCTGCCCATTGTTTCCTGTTCGCAAATAAAGCCGGAATTAATTAGCCATTTGGCACAACTCTTGGTGCCACTATGTCAGCGCTCACAGTTCAGCTCTGTGTTTCATCCCTCAAGCCCACTCTGCCTGCTGTGAGACTGAGCGTAACATCCACGGCCACATGAAGCTGCAGACCTTTGCCAGGAACTCAGACATTTCAAATTACTGCTCACTCAGCAACAGAGAAGAAGCAGCTGTCATGACAACATCTATTTTACCTGAAGTGAAAATCCCCATCCTCAGGAATAATGAAAGCAAATTAAATGTTGCCCAGTAACTAGTGATCCCTCCCACAGATAAACTGCACCCGTGTCCGTCAGTCCGAAAGCTGTGGTATAAGTGGGTCAGACAGGTGGGGCTGAGGTGATCAGATTAGTGAGATGGAGGAATGCGGGGAGGCAAGCCTGTGATTCTCTAAAACAATTATGGCTGACTTTTATTGTGTTAGTAGAGAAAGTGGAAACGAGCACACTGCATTAAAATGAATAACACAATCATATCTACCCAGACTGAATACGGGTACGTTATGTACAAGACACTGACACATTACCTAACACCTGCGTGATCTCATTGCAGATTCTAAACAGGCTCATAAATGAAACGCTCTCGCTCGCACATGCACATACACATAATCATATTCACATTGTCACTCTGGCATAGTTAAATTTAGCCACCGTGCTTAGCAGGTGGAACAAATGTGTGTGAGCTGAGGCCTGGGAGGTGTTCCTGCAGATCACAGACACTGCTGCTGTATCTGGTTACTTGTCTGCTGTCATGGAGCTCTGCTCTCTGCATCTCTTTCTCTCTTACTTTCCAAAGCAGCCACGGGATTGTCACTGCCTCACTCATTCTTTGTTGAATTTGGGATTAAGTACTAGGCAGCCCCCCACCGCTGCATACATATTGTTTGCTTGGATGCTGCATCAATTAAGGCCACTAAACGCTCCTGACCTCAAAATCACAGACGCTACCACAGAATTGGATGTTAGGTTGGGTCTATGTCGACCGCACTAGTTCAGCTGCGAGTGAGACTGGAAATCTCTTTGCCTTCATGACACGGGAGCAGTCAGGGTTATAGAAGCAAAACAGTGAAATATGGAATATGAGACTGCTGTCCAAATCAGGTTCCTCTCAGCAGCTCAGATTGCAATTGATGTGTTCTTCTGTGGTATATACTACCTGGATTAAGTTGTCTCGCTCCTCATTCTCTTCATTTTCTGTCTCCTCTTGCTTTCTGTGCCTGTCTCACTTCTGACCTGTCCTGTCCTCCACCCCAGGGGACATCACACAAAGGATGAGATCCGCTCCATTTCCAACACCTGCAGAATTGGATGCATATGCTAAGAAGGTTGCCAACAACCCGCTCACCATCAAGATCTTCCCCAACAGCGTCAAGGTCCCCCAGCGAAACCACGTGCGCCGTACGGTCAACGGGCTGGATACGTCAGGCCAGCGCTACAGCCCTTACCCTTCCTCTCAGGCCAGTGCCAAGACAGGTCTCCTTGCCATTGTCAAGGTACCCACAGTCAAAGGCATCCTAAAAGATTTTGACGGCAGTCGGGCTCGCTTGCACCCAGAAGTCATCATGAACCCTCCTGCCGGACCCTACCAAGTGGCTTCAACCAGCACTTTAAACCACCACCCACCTCTGCCGAACCTTCCCTGTCCCCAGCAAAGCTTACCCCTTCAACCACAGGACCCACCTCAGACTCTACAGATGCCCCTTTCTCAGCAGCAGGGTCACACCCAGAGCCTCAGACACCCTCCCCCCATGGCCCAACACCCCCAGGGCCCATCTAGACTTCAGGCTCTGTCTCAGCAACCAGCCCTTGTACATCCACAGGGGCCCCCTTCTGTCATGCTTCAGCAGCAGCCACCGCCTGGCCTGCAGGGGGGTCGAAAGCCACCAGATAGCGATGCGCCACCAAATGTTACCGTCTCTACCTCAACCATTCCACTCTCCATGGCCGCCGGGCTGCACCAGGGCTGCCAGGCCGACCTGAGCACCATTGTGCATCAGATCAACCAGTTCTGCCAAGCTCGAGCCCAAGGTGCAGGAGCCACCTCATTGTGCGAGGGCCAGATCGCCAACCCCAGCCCCATCAGTCGCAATCTACTTATCAGCGCCTGCTCCAGGGTGTCCATGCACAGCAACCCTGCCACCCCTGGTTTCCCCCCACCCAACTGCATTATTGGCCCTCAAGAGAAAGCCACGGCACCAGTGGGAGTTCACCCTCCAGCCAGTGTGGCTGCTATAAACCACTTGCCTTCCAACCGCACTGATCTCAAGCAGCAGCACCACCTGCAGCAGCATCTGCATCCACAGCAGAATCAGCCACAAAAACTGATGCAACATAACACACAGCAGCAGCAGATGCGTCCTTGGAATCAGCACCAGTTGGCTCATGTACCCCACATTCAGAACAGTGGGACCACCCTCTGCAAGCAGCCTTCCAGGGACCCCACCTTCAATTTTAAAGGTATAGGATACCCTGCGGAAGTGTGTGCGGGTCAGCCTTACACACTGAAACCACCTGTAGAAAGGTCCACCCCTTCTCCCCCTGTCATCAACAACGGCATGCCCGGTCCCATGGCTCATTACACCAATGGTCACTACTTCCAGTCCCACATTTGGAACAACAACATCCTCCCCACACCTAACAGTGACAGCTCCGGGTCTCAGGACGTAACCATGCCATTCCACAGTGCAGGTCCAGGCGGGTGCACCACTCTTGACTGTGGGCCCCCCGGGGCTCCCCATTACCGGCTAGGAACGAGCGCCTCCTCCACCACCTCCCTGTCCGCCCAGACTGCTCTGATGCAAATGGCAGATTACTTGGGTGGGGACTTCCAGACACCCTACTTCCGCGATCAGAATCTAGGTTTGATTGGCAAGATGCACAGGCCTCCTCTGAGGG